TCACACCTTGAGTATGCTCCACTTTTTGTGTTTTGCCTGTCCCACCTCTATCTGCGATGCTCTTGACTGAGTAGAGAACAGAGCAAGGACGTCTCTCTCTCGCCTGGACCCATCCTGAAGGATCTGTTCATTTCAGCAGAGCTTCATCTAGGAAGGATGTGGGTGGCCTATCTGTTATGTACAGGCCAATATTGTCAAAATTCCACACTTGGATCCACTTCGAGGACAGCGCGAAACAAGCTTTTATGCCACAAGACGGGCAGAAGCAGCAACTTCACTCTGGCTGTAACCTTCTCAGAACATTCACTCCTCTGAGATCATACATTACCCAGGATGACTGAGTATGGAACACATTCGTTCAGCATAATGATGTTCAACGAGATAACGTCAGTTGTTCAAATGAAAAATGCTGGGCCCACAGATGGCCTCCAACTTCATCCTGTTCCCTACTGTGTATGTCTCCTAAATAAAAATGCTTTCAGATGAGCTGATGTTAGGTAACAGCTCTTGCTTGTCAATAAAGTTTGGAATCCTTACTGTTAAATTGCTTGTCAATAAAGCTAGGGGTCCTTACCTTGTCAAACAAGGTGTTAAAAAAAAAAAAAAAAAAAAAAAACATATTTCATCAACGGAATCTACCTATCCTCATGAGGTGCAGAAAAAATAATAATAATAATAATAATTCATAATAATATAATACTAGAATAATATATAATAATAATATATAATAATAATAATAATATAATAAAATGATGATGATAATAATAATAATATATTTATTATTATTATTATTATTATTATTATTATTATTCTTATTATTAGTTGAAGGTGAGTAGGTTGTGTCCCTGTCAGGGATAATAGCGCAGGTTGGGTTAGGTTAATTATGCAATAAAGAGGCTGAACATTTATACATATAAACCAGAGGACAGATGCAGCAGCTGAAGGTATCAACTCATGTGGGCGGCGTCCCACTAATGTAGGTAAGTCATGCCCCCACGGAGGACCTGAGGAGAAAAATGGAACTGATGGAGATATCCTCCATAACCTAATGTCAGTGGTGGGCCCCCGCCCATCTATGACCTCTTCCTCAACTGCTGCATCTGAAAAAAAATATGTACTGGTATTTTCAGATTTTCATTTTTTATTCTAAAATACATTATGTACTTCCATAACTGATAATCCTACTAACCTATGATCCTCCGGGCTTGTGATCCTCCGGGCTTGTGATCCTCCGGGCTTGTGATCCTCCGGGCTTGCGATCCTCCGGGCTTGTGATCCTCCGGGCTTGTGATCCTCCGGGCTTGTGATCCTCCGGGCTTGCGATCCTCTGGGCTTGTGATCCTCTGGGCTTGTGATCCTCCGGGCTTGTGATCCTCCGGGCTTGTGATCCTCTGGGCTTGTGATCCTCCGGGCTTGCGATCCTCCGGGCTTGTGATCCTCCAGGCTTGCGATCCTCCGGGCTTGTGATCCTCCGGGCTTGTGATCCTCCGGGCTTGTGATCCTCCGGGCTTGTGATCCTCCGGGCTTGCGATCCTCCGGGCTTGTGATCCTCCGGGCTTGTGATCCTCCGGGCTTGCGATCCTCCGGGCTTGCGATCCTCCGGGCTTGTGATTCTCCTGGCTTGTGATCCTCCTGGCTTATGATCCTCCTGGCTTGCGATCCTCCTGGCTTTTGATCCTCTTGGCTTGTGATCCTCCTCTCTTGTGATCCTCCGGCTTGTGATCCTCCTGGCTTGTGATCCTCCTGGCTTGTGATCCTCCTAGCTTGTGATCCTCCTGGCTTGTGATCCTCCTCTCTTGTGATCCTCCTGTCTTGTGATCCTCCTCTCTTGTGATCCTCCTGGCTTGTGATCCTCCTCTCTTGTGATCCTCCTGGCTTGTGATCCTCCTGGCTTGTGATCCTCCTAGTTTGTGATCCTCTTGGTTCGTGATCCTCCAGGCTTGTGATCCTCCTGGCTTGTGATCCTCCTGGCTTGTGATCCTCCAGGCTTGTGATCCTCCTGGCTTGTGATCCTCCTGGCTTGTGATCCTCCTGGCTTGTGATCCTCCTGGCTTGTGATCCTCCTGGCTTGTGATCCTCCTGGCTTGTGATCCTCCTGGCTTGTGATCCTCCTGGCTTGTGATCCTCCTGGCTTGTGATCCTCCTGGCTTGTGATCCTCCTGGCTTGTGATCCTCCTGGCTTGTGATCCTCCTGGCTTGTGATCCTCCTGGCTTGTGATCCTTGTGTTATTAAATTCTTGTTTACTCTTATTATTTCTTCGTTCTCTGTTTACTCTTCCTCCTAGTTTAACCTGTCTTCTTCCCACTGTATCAGTGGAGACAAGAACATCATTCCACCCCTCCATGGAGGAGCATTCCACCCCTCCATGGAGGAGCATTCTACCTCTCCATGGAGGAGCATTCCACCCCTCCATGGAAGATATGTTTATTTAATATCACATCCCTGAAGCGCCTCCCAAGACGCTCATCACTAGTAATCTCTTCCTTAAGTCACTTGCAGAAGCAACTGCCCAAGAAGAAATTTCTGGCTTAACTCTTAGTAATAATTTATTACACGCTATATACAGTGATGGATCTAAGCAGAAGTCTACTGGGAGGGCTGCATCTGCTCTTGTTGCCACCTCCAGCAGGAGTCTACTGGCAGGGCTGCATCTGCTCTTGTTGCCACCTCCAGCAGGAGTCTACTGGCAGGGCTGCATCTGCTCTTGTTGCCACCTCCAGCAGGAGTCTACTGGCAGGGCTGCATCTGCTCTTGTTGCCACCTCCAGCAGGAGTCTACTGGCAGGGCTGCATCTGCTCTTGTTGCCACCTCCAGCAGGAGTCTACTGGCAGGGCTGCATCTGCTCTTGTTGCCACCTCCAGCAGGAGTCTACTGGCAGGGCTGCATCTGCTCTTGTTGCCACCTCCAGCAGGAGTCTACTGGCAGGGCTGCATCTGCTCTTGTTGCCACCTCCAGCAGGAGTCTACTGGCAGGGCTGCATCTGCTCTTGTTGCCACCTCCAGCAGGAGTCTACTGGCAGGGCTGCATCTGCTCTTGTTGCCACCTCCAGCAGGAGTCTACTGGCAGGGCTGCATCTGCTCTTGTTGCCACCTCCAGCAGGAGTCTACTGGCAGGGCTGCATCTGCTCTTGTTGCCACCTCCAGCAGGAGTCTACTGGCAGGGCTGCATCTGCTCTTGTTGCCACCTCCAGCAGGAGTCTACTGGCAGGGCTGCATCTGCTCTTGTTGCCACCTCCCTAGTTAAGAAAGATAACCTTGTTGATTTAGGTATAAGAATCAACAACTGGGCGTCTACACTGTAAACTGAATTATTTGTCATCATAATGGCGTAAAAGTATGACATCGAGCTTGACTTTACGATTATTGTTGATTTTATGTCATCATTCAAGGCTCTTGACTCACATAATGACTAACAACATGCTCATTGGATAAACCAAATATAGATTCTGATAAAAAAAAAACGAAAAAATGGAATTAATGTAAAATTGTTCTGGATTCCATCACATACTGGATTACTGCTTCATCATAAATGTTGATACGCTACCCGAGAAAAACTACCTTGAAGGAAAATGATGAAAATAACTCTGGTGTGTGTTCTACATTAAGAATAATATTAGGAGAGAAGTAAATAATGAGAATGAATGATATAAGAATGCAGTTATAAGCCTGAGTAGATCTATAACCCACTATGATAACATGAAATTTGATTAGTACGTTTATGTAAAAGTTTGCAAGATGACCAGAGTGACAGATGTTGTAGTGGTCAGGCTTAGGTTTGGTTGCAAATACTTCTGGTAGTCTGGCAGATACACAGATGATAATCCAAACAATAGCAAAGTATGTGGCCACCTCTATGGTCACTATCTTGAAAACTATATGATTAATTGTCCATTTGTTGATGAGTAAGATACCAGATATGTTAAGCAAATTTCCTAAATTTACTTGCAACAGATAAGTGAACTATAGATATAAATCCAGATGTACTCCTGTAAATCCTTTTTCGGGGCCTAGTTCCTAGGCCTTTTGTGTATCCATATGCGCTTGCGCTACCGTTCACAGGATGGATATGGGGGGGGGGGCACAATAAACTAACCAGTTCGGTGGCAAAATCTAAATCATCCCACTTCTTTTTCCTCTCACATCTTTCTTCTCTACCTCTCTTATGTCTCCCACTTCTCCCTAACACATCTTGGGTATATTTAATGACGTTTCGCTTGTACAACAGTCTTCTTCAGGAGAATTCTGGAGAATATAATACTGGAGACAGTCCTTTAGACTAAAGTACTGATTATCTTCTATGAAAGCTGAGGGACTGACCACTTTCTGTCAAGGCTGAGGAACTGACTTCTTTCTATCAAGGCTGAAGGACTGATCATCTCAAAATTACCCCTTCACTTCTGTCTGCGGTGCTTCATTCGCCTAAACTCGACAGCAGAAGTCTGTTGTGCATGAGAAGCATTTAGTCCATAAAGATATCCAAATGTTGCACATGTGTCTAATTCACTAACTTGTCGGTGTTATGATACTTTTCTCCCTCATCCTTCTCCTCCATATCTCTCTCATCTCCCATCCTCCTCCACATCTCTCTCATCTCTCCCACCTCTCCCTTTTCTTCTCTCAGCCGTCCGTGGATCTCTCTGCAGCCTCTCTCACTCTACCGGTAACAGAAACAATAGCAGCAGCAGCACTAAAGCACTAGCAGCACAAGCAGCAACAGCAGCATCACCAGCTGCAGGAGCACAAACATCACCATCACCAACAGAAGCAGCAAAAGCATCACCAGCAACAGCAGCAGTAGCATCACCAGCAGCAACATCACCAGCAAAAGCATCACCAGCAGCAGTAGCATCACCAGCAGCATCACCAGCAGCAGCATCAGCAGCAGCATCAGTGGTGCGCGACCAGCTCCGCCTGCTTCCTGTCGTAGGCACGGCTGGGGTGGCGCTCCCTGGCGTCAGAACCAACGCCCTCTACCTCTCTTATAAACCCCTGACGCACCTCTCCGCCTATGATTGTCCCCGCGGGGTCTGACTGCTGCAGGAGCATCGTAGCACAGATAGCATAAATCAGTGTAGCGCTCCAAGGAACAAGAACTGCTGTGAAAAGTGGCCAGTTTCCTAACTACCCTTTTGTTTATGTTCACTGAGAAGGAGCTGAGGAAGGAGTGTGGAGGACTTCAAAGGGAGGAAGGAGGAGGAGTGTGGAGGAGGAGAAGAAGGAGAAGTGTTAAAGAAGAGACTCAGGAGAGGAGATACAGAGGAGAGGAATCTTTGACCCCTCACACACAGTCATTAAGACTGTAACTTTGACCAACTTCGACCTCACCAGGTATGTTGATATTATCCACAGTCGCCTCATAAAATGCTTGTCACTACGTAAATCTTGACTTTTAATCTACCTCACTAAATGTATCTCGCTTGAAATCTCACTGTAAATCTATCTCACAATAAATCTATTTCACTTTACGTCTATCTCGCTTTAAATCTCTTGCAGCAATTACAAGAGGTTATAAGAAGACGTCCTAAGTAATCCTCTCAAGAGAGCACAAACTGATAAAATTATCAAATAATTCATCAGTATATATATATATATATATATATATATATATATATATATATATATATATATATATATTATATATATATATATATATATATATATATATATATTATATATATATGCATATATATACATACATATATATTTTTTTTTTTATTATCACACCGGCCGATTCCCACCAAGGCAGGGTGGCCCGAAAAAGAAAAACTTTCACCATCATTCACTCCATCACTGTCTTGCCAGAAGGGTGCTTTACACTACAGTTTTTAAACTGCAACATTAACACCCCTCCTTCAGAGTGCAGGCACTGTACTTCCCATCTCCAGGACTCAAGTCCGGCCTGCCGGTTTCCCTGAATCCCTTCATAAATGTTACTTTGCTCACACTCCAACAGCACGTCAAGTATTAAAAACCATTTGTCTCCATTCACTCCTATCAAACACGCTCACGCATGCCTGCTGGAAGTCCAAGCCCCTCGCACACAAAACCTCCTTTACCCCCTCCCTCCACCCTTCCTAGGCCGACCCCTACCCCGCCTTCCTTCCACTACAGACTGATACACTCTTGAAGTTATTCTGTTTCGCTCCATTCTCTCCACATGTCCGAACCACCTCAACAACCCTTCCTCAGCCCTCTGGACAACAGTTTTGGTAATCCCGCACCTCCTCCTAGCTTCCAAACTACGAATTCTCTGCATTATATTCACACCACACATTGCCCTCAGACATGACATCTCCACTGCCTCCAGCCTTCTCCTCGCTACAACATTCATCACCCACGCTTCACACCCATATAAGAGCGTTGGTAAAACTATACTCTCATACATTCCCCTCTTTGCCTCCAAGGACAAAGTTCTTTGTCTCCACAGACTCCTAAGTGCACCACTCACTCTTTTTCCCTCATCAATTCTATGATTCACCTCATCTTTCATAGACCCATCCGCTGACACGTCCACTCCCAAATATCTGAATACGTTCACCTCCTCCATACTCTCTCCCTCCAATCTGATATTCAATCTTTCATCACCTAATCTTTTTGTTATCCTCATAACCTTACTCTTTCCTGTATTCACCTTTAATTTTCTTCTTTTGCACACCCTACCAAATTCATCCACCAATCTCTGCAACTTCTCTTCAGAATCTCCCAAGAGCACAGTGTCATCAGCAAAGAGCAGCTGTATATATACAGCAGCATATATATACATATATATATATATATATATATATATATATATATATATATATATATATATATATATATATATATATATATATATATAGATATATATATATATATATATTTATACTGCAGTGCATGCAATATTATTAGTACAGAGTGGGGGTTCCAGTATTTAGTGCAGTTAAATATCAGTAGTTGAGATGTGTAGCCAAACAAAAAGAACCATTCACTAGTTATCTCATGGAAACTAATATCCCAGTTTATTCATTAAAGATGGCAGACTGGCACCTGAAACCTATTAGAACCTTCAACTATGTAATCTTCAACTGCCTTGAAAGTTTGAAGCCGATCAGAAGAGTTTTTGTCAAGTTGTTTCAATGAAACAAAAACCAAGAATTATCCACATTAAATTATCTACATTAAACTAATCAGAAAGCAGCTATACATACCAGTTTTTCCATGAATGTTCCTCTGGCTATAGTTCACCAGCATTGAAAATTTGAAGCCGATCGGATGAGGCATTTTCAAGTTATAAATGAATACCTTGGAGGAAGAGCCATAGTTGAGTTCATGACCGACTCTGACGTGAAGCCGAAAGAAAACACCTTAACTGCTCAATAAACTCTATAAACAAAAACGAAAAAAAAACATAAAAAAGCGAATTTTTAACATTTTTTTCAAGTTTCTTTTCTTATTTACTTAATATTTAATAGTTTCTACAATCCCATGAGAAAATTTGTTAGATTTTGTTAAAAAAAAATAATGACATTTGTGTACCTCCCACGACCTATCAGTAGCAACAACGAATTTGTGAGATGCGCTAAACTCGTACGAATCATACAGAGCCTGGCAGTGGAAGGCAAACAATACAGAGGACTGAACCCCTACTACAGATCACAAGGCTTCTCTGATTCCTTGTACTAATTAATTCTGTAAGCAAAACATTTTATTATTATTATTATTATTATTATTATTATTATTACTATTATTATTATTATTATTATTGTTACTATTATTATTATTATTACTATTATTATTATTATTATTATTATTATTATTATTATTATTATTATTATTATTATTATTATTATCTATTATATTATTATTATTATTATTATTATTATTATTATTATTATTATTACAAACCTCGAAAGAGTTATACAGCACCTCGCATCGACAAGAAAAATATGGGGAAATATAGCGTGAAGAATATGCAATAAATATAGATTGAAACTGGCAAAATCTACATTGGAACACGGGCTATATAAATGCTAACAATGTTCCGCCCTCGGCTTTAGGAGGTCAGCTGTTTCAACGTCAGCAGGTGTGGTTCCACCTGGCTCGTATAACGTGTTGATAGGTGTGTCACCATCCTGGAATTATTAACACACATGTTTTCAAATGTGTCCTAACTGGATGGCTCCACATTTTTCACCCATTTTCTCGTTTCTCTTGTCATGTTTATGTATCCTGTTTCTCTCTGTGTTCCCTGTCTTTCGTGCTGCCTTCTGTTAGAAAGCCTGTATATCTGTCTGTCTATCTTCTCTGTTTGTCTATATTCTCTGTCTTTCTTATTGCCTTACGTTAGACAGTCTTTATGTCTGTCTATCTGTCCTATCCCTCTGTGCGTTCCCTGTCTTTCTTACTGTCTCTTGTTTATTTCTCTATCCATTATTTCTAATAATTTTATATCGGGATAAAATTCTAGTCCAGTCAGCGAGTTCATTGACTTTAAATATCGTCAGCAACAGCAACAAAGATTATCCAGTCAGGAAAAGCGAGAATAAATTCTTTATATGAGAGAGAGAGAGAAAGAGAGAAAGAGATTGAAAGTGGAATCGAGTAGTCATAAAGAAGGAAATTAGGATCAGGAAAGGATGCTAGTAGGAAGTGTTAGAGTAAATAGATCTCAAAGTAGCTGTATTAAAGACCACAATAAACGAGGAGTTGAATCGACAGCACCAAAGAACTCAGAGAGAAAACAGGTGAAAAATCAGTGAAGATTAGACTATGAAACGTTAGAGAAAGGAAGATAAAAGTAGATGAAAAGTAGGCCCAGAGAACTGAACTGGAGATGAGTAAATTGAAAGATGATGCTGAGCAATTGGTAGTGATGGAAGAAAGAGGCAAAAGATGGATGGAAGCAGAAAAACGTAGTTTTGTAGACACTCTCGGGCGACTGTAAGAAGACATAACAGAAGCAACGAAAGAAATGATTCGCTCCTGCATAAGAACGTCATTGTAGAACATTCATTTGAATACATGTTTAAAACATTAGAAAAAACAATCATTCGTAAACATTGAAAAAAAAAAACATTAAAAACATTAAAAATGTCAAAAAATATTCAAAAAACATTAAAAGACATTAAGAAAACATTCAAAAAAATATTCACAAAAACGTTAAAAAAAAAAACATTTACAAAACATTGAAAAAAATATTAATAATATATACACAATATATTACAAAATTAACATTGAAAAAAACATTCCAAACATTCACAAACCATCTGTTTCAAACCACCTCCTACCCCCCCTCCCCAGACCTCCATCAGAAGAAATATAATGGGATATGACACTTCTGTACAATTCAGAACATTCTTTAAATGAAACGTTTCGCCAGGAACGTTTCCATCAGTCCTTCATCTGAACCATTCTTCTCTGAACCATTCTTCTCTGAACCATTCTTCTCTGAACCATTCTTCTCTGAACCACTCTTCTCTGAACCATTCTTCTTTGAACCATTCTTCTCTGAACCATTCTTCTCTGAACCATTCTTCTCTGAACCATTCTTCTCTGAACCGTTCTTCTCTGAACCATTCTTCTCTGAACCATTCTTCTCTGAACCATTCTTCTCTGAACCATTCTTCTCTGAACCATTCTTCTCTGAACCATTCTTCTCTGAACCATTCTTCTCTGAACCATTCATCTACATTCCTCTCTGACACAGCAACATCTTGGGATCTTAAAACAGGGAATTCTTCACTTGCCTGACCCTAGGTCATGACCTACTTCCACATTGGACAACGTGACCACCTACGACTGCTGCACCTCTCCTACCTGCAGTATATAAGCTACTTCTTCGCACATATACCGTATTCCTTTCAAGATTGATGGACTGACCACATCGGCTCAAGGCTGAGGGACTGATTACCTCAAACTCCTCCTGCTCTTCAACGCCCTCCTTTGTATGGACTGATGAAGCCACTGTGTGGCGAAACGTTTCCTCAGTAAAGGTACCCAAGCGTTGTACATGTGTATAATTTATCAACCTGTCGGTTCCCTGAACCATTCATCTATAGTCCTCCATCAGACTAAAGAAGCCATTCGTGGCGAAACGTTTTCTTTAATAAATGTCATGAACTATACAAAAGTATCCTTTCCCACAGTTCGTCTGTATCACCATTTGTGACCGTAAAAAATCATACCTAGTGATACTTATCAACAGAAAGATCGAAACGCAGTTCACAAAAGTACATGTACAGCAAATTAAGCTAATAAACTAAATGGAAAATTAGCAGAGTTGTTAGTAGGTGTAACAGCCATCAAAGAGGTTATACCAAGTGTGATCTTCCTAGCAGGGTAACAAGTAA